AAGGTCAGGAAGAGACTTCCTTCGGTTCTTCGGAGAGGGACACGATCTTCGCTGTCTGGATGTTCAGCCTCTCAAGTTAGCCGCTATCCCAGCTGGGAGCCTGAAACTCAGTGAAGCACAGATGTCAGCTACATCTCTGGTTTGAGACTGCTCTGCGTCCTGGAAAGGAAGAGAGCAAGTGAAGGGGAGGGCTCAGCCTGAAACACCTTTGCATTTTCCCCCAAGTAATGAATCTTTCCGGTGGTTTGGGGGTCGAGTCTCTAGCGTTTCAACCAAGATGTTCATAGATGTTAACACTGCTCAGAAAGCAATAGGACGGTTTTTTTCCACTACAAACTCAGAGAAGTTTGGTCCTAAAAACACCGATCCCTTACTCTAGAAATAACCCCCTTGCTCCAGGGTGCCGCTTACGGTGAGAACTTCTGCTGGAACCCTTCAGGGTCTGTTCAGACAGTGCCACGTTTGGTCACTGTATTCAGTTTGACCTGCTGCACTTCTCTCAAAACGAAGCCATATTGTAGACATATCCTGCAGCCCGAGGAAGGACAGCCGGTCATCACCAGGAACGTGCCAGCCAGTGCTCACGCATGGATCACAGGAAGGCAAAAGTCAGCACCCTGCTTGCTGTGTCTCTGCTCCACGATTCAAAGCCATGCCCATTCAAAAGTGATAAACGTATTTAAGCACAAAAAGTTATCGAGAGAAGCCCCCTCGCTTGCAGAACACGCACACTACAGTTGAATTTGAGGTTGCCATTGCCAGCACGTATTTTCCAGTTCATGCATTCGCACTACAGAAAGACAACAGGAGCTGAATCATCTCTGAAACCTTGTTAGCTTCTCTCATTTTTCCTCCATTGTGCAAGTCAGAGGATGTCCAGACCAGCTTCAGTAAGGCTTGGAAAGGGAAAAGGTCCCAGATATTTCTCCCCAAGAAACAGCCATGAAAGGAGCTAGATTAAATACGTACAGTAAACACCTGCCATTATTCTTATTGCTCTCTGAGATCCACGGTTCCCTTCGGTGCTGTGGAGCAGAAACCCACAGCGACACATCTGTGGTCCTGGGATACTGAGTCCCCTGGGGCAGCACCTTCGTCCTTGGCGCTCCGTGCAGAACCGATGGAGACAGTAACGCCAGGTGCAAAGGGCGGCGGGGAGGTGAGAGGGGACGGTGCACGCACCGCGGAGTGGCAGGAACAGCGACTTGGGCTCCGCAGAGCGCGAGCAGGGAGCGGGGAGTGCCTCCTCCCCGCCACCGCTCAGCCCCCAAAAAAGCTTCCATCTCTTTCCATGGCCAGACACGTTTGCTAATTCCTTTTTCTTTCCAAATGCATTTTTTTCTCAGTGAAGGAAGCTCAGAATCACCCTGAGACAGGCTCAGACAGCGATTACAGACCCAGAATTAGCTGCTGGGGGACACACGGGTCTGTTCCAGGCTAAGGAACAGTCACTACGGCTTTCCAGTCGGCGCATGGTGTTCTTGCCTGCAGTAAGTGATGTAAAACCACCTCTATCCCTCATTGCCTTCCCCTTTCCACAAACAAAACCCTGAAAAGTGGCAGCAAGCCTTCTGGAATTCTCTGAAATCTGCCTTTCAAAAAAGATGACTCATTTGAGGGTTGGGTTTTTTGGAGGTGGAGGGGAAAGCTGTGCGGTTTGACTGCATTGTTTGCAGCTCTGCCACGACACCGTTTGCTGTACAACCCGCACTTGTGCACACATGACCTACAAACACAGCAAAGTTCATGCTCAGCTCCAAAGCTCTCAGCTGGTGCAGCATATCTCAGTGCAGCAGGCCAAAGCATCCTGCTTTCCAGCTATACTGCCAAAAAGACGTAGAACTCAAGCAGAGCTACACCCTCCCAGGACCACCCCCATGCAGGACCCAAAATAGGAACCAGCTTTAAAAAAAAGTCCTCAGCACACAGCAGCCTGCACACTGGGATATCTACACTTAGAACTTCCAAAGTTCTCTGTAGCTGAGCTACTGAGACTCTGGTCCTTATTTGCCATCATATCCTTCCTGGATTTATTACCCTATTTCTCAGAATAAATGCTGGTCCTGTCCGGGAACACATTTTTGCAGGATCTCCCTCTGCGACACACACCAGCAAGTGGGTGCTGTGCATGCACCAGCTGAAGACAGCACCCACTCACCCAGGCTGTTATGCATATTGCAGTGCTGACGTATCCAAATCCTTCTGCAGAATAACTGCCTTCGCTAAACAGACTGGGAAAAAAATATACATAGATACCATTCTGCCATCACATTTTCCTACTTTTGCACATGGTATCTGAATCCTCAGCACTTCTATGTTTCCCTAGTTGTCTTTTCAGGAAAAACAAACACACAAAGAAGTAAATATTATGGCAAAAAAATACTCACCTAGGGTGGCTTGGGGCAGTCAACTTGTCTCTTGCACAAAGGGTTCTTCAGTGCCTAATTCAGAGTCTCTGAAAGAATCAGTTGCTGAATTGCCTTGAGGTTGTACACACAAGTCATTTATCTGTCTTGCCAGTCTCAAGTCTCTTATTTCAGGTTCAGTTTGATGGTCACTTTCAACTCACAAGAGGAAGTTAAGAGCTAGACTGAGGTACTGACAAATCAGAATGCAGAAGGGACTGTTACGGAGAGGTGAGAAGAACTACAGAGGCATACGCCTGAGAGCAGATGATGGGTATGCAGCGTCATAAGGAGAAGGCGCTTCAGAGGTACGAGATGTGGCCCAGTCCCCGTCCTTCCATCGCGGCAGACTGACCTGCTCAGTCAGTATGTGAGAAGTCAAGAACGAAGATACTCTTGGCAAACAACCCTTTGGCAGCCTGTGCTCCCTCTCGGGTTGTTCTTGGGAATCAGAGCTGGCTAAAGAACCGCCGCTCCTGCAGACTGGATCTTGTCCTGATGAGGTATCAGCAGCAAGTGACACCGAGTAACTTTGCTGGTGCTGTCAGGGGCCACAGGTTAGCAGGCATCTTATGGGCAAAAGGGCCACTGTCAACATGCTTTTCACAGCGTAGTCAGCTGCTCCCTCTTGAAACACATACAAGATACACAGCATGGACTGCTTTCTGCTGGCACCCCACCCCCTTCCCTTCCAATCACTTTGAAAGCATATTTTCATCCTTCCTCTTCCTCAGGAGTACCACAGCAATCACTGTTCTCTACCCTAGTATCAGTGGTTTTAATGGTACACAAATGACTTCCACACAGCTAGCAAAAGAAGAGAACGTTGAAGTCTTAGCCATGCTCAACACCATTCACAATCCAGAATGCTATTAGCTTCAAGGCGGCAGTTTAGCTTTGCACCAGAAAGAGATTTGCCCAGGATCTAGCCCACTGCTGGCAAAGGAGTCGCAGCTGAAGGCAAACATTTTGCAGAAAACAAGAGTCATTCATTTCCACAAAGAACTTGAGTGATCTGTTATTGCTGAAAGTGGAACAACAAAGCCACTTCCTCTAAGCGTGCCTATCCCACCAACATCCTTTCTCAGGAAAGTTTTGGCTGGGAGAGACTTCAGGAAGCACAAGCTTTTTAAATATTGCTTTATAGTAGACAGGAGAAAAATACATTTCTTTATCTGGAGACACAGATCTAGAGCTAACCTGCTCCGCAGCCAGGAACTTCAACATTACCTGTAACTGGCAGCCATCATAGAGCTGCTAAGGGGGGACTCGGTACGCATTCCCTTTTGAGTGAAATCTGTCCCCTTAACACCTTTACCTAGCATCATATGATAAGTTCTATAGCTAAGCAACATCTCAGGATGGCAGTTTTATGAGTTCGACTACATTTAGCCAAATAAAGAAATCCACAGCCTAGAATGAAACAAAGCAATTTATTGGTAATGGCACATCAAAGTCAACAGTAAACTTATAACACGCATGTAAAAGGAGACTATTTGGCCAACAGCACATACAGAAAGGAAGCAGAAAACAGCAGCTGTTTAGGTACTGGGCAGACAGGAAGGCCACTGCTCTGTGCCGTCCATTACTGGACAAGGCTGGTGAAAGAGAAAGCACTCTTCCTTACTGGGCAGTAATGATGCTCGTTTAGCTGTTTCCCTAAAACGGTACCTAGAAGATGAGAGGAGGAACGTGACTGTTCTTCCGAACACAGAACGTTCCTTTGGACACTGCTTGAGTCAATGGTTGAGGTAGATGGGGTTATGTTTCCCCAGATACAGAGTCCCCATTTGCATTTCTGATTAAAAAAAAAAAAAGTCATTTTATATGAATTGTACTTCACTTCTACAAGTAGAAGGAGACGTACCTAGTAATGCAGCTGTTGGACAAATAATTAAAAAAAAGGAAAGATAAAACTCAACAGTGTAAGGTAACACTACTGTGCAGTTGGTGACTTAAAAATGGAATCAGAAAACAGTAGGAACAAAATGGTGATCCTGTAATTATGTGGCAGATTAAACCAAGAAATAGTTAAAAAGCAGTAGATTCTCTTCGCTCCAAGGCAAAGGATGCCATATACCAAGTTAATCAAACTGCTTTAAGTCCTTAGCAAATACGTTCCAAAAAAATGGAGAAGAAAACATTGTCAATGTCCAATGATGATCACCATAGAGAGCTGACATCACTCTGGCGTAGCCTGTGCTTCAGGCATTTCAAATTCAAGAGCACAGGAAAGGAGGGATGTCACTGATAATAAAGGAAACAAATTTGCAAGTAAACTAAGAAACATGCGTTGTCAGCCTGCTTGTACGAAACACACCGTACAGCTGTAGGCACTGAGGTTTCTGTAGGCACTGGAGAAGTGAGATTAAGAGGTTGTTTTGTTTTGTTTTTCCCCAATAAATTAGGAAGATTTCCAAAATCATTCTTTTGTGCTTAAATAAAAGTGAGTTATCCCATTGGCATTGTTATTCCAGTCTGCCAAGATTAGAGCAGGTCCTTCAATCTGCACTGGTTATCCAGCAGGCTTTGTACCTTCCAGCCATGATTCTCAGTGCTGTAATTTTGTTCTTTATCCTTAGCTTTAGTCTTTCGTCAGTATGGGTCTTCCTCATCCGTGTCCTAAACAGGGAGTATGAGAGAGAAATTGAGACTGTGTCTGAAGACATGAACCAAGTTACTAGTTCAACAAAATTGAGTCTGCTAGGCTTCTGACAAGAGCTTAAACGCTTTCCATAATGCTGCTGTGCTTGAATAAGCCATAGGACTTGTAGTCGTATAAGCACTTGCAGCTTAATCTGACTTATCACAGATACACAGATGAATTGCCACCATATAATCAACACATGAAGTGGGTTTTAAGAGAAGCAGCAGCTAAAGCTCAAGCAAAAGACAAACCATAAAGAGCAGACAGCCATCTTCTTAAAAAGCACCACCAGTCCCTACAGAGAAGGTCCGGTACAGCACAAGCTGTTGTTTTTCAGCTACAACTGATCACGTACTTTCAGATCCCCATCACTGTGTATTGTTTTAACCACAGTAATCATCTGATGGCGTCCCCACAATCCAGCTCTGCAGCTCTCACCTCGAAACCAACTCAAGTGTAACAGCTCTATGAGGGAAATCTCACTAACTTTCCAACCATTTTAAGTCCAAATATTTTCACTGTCTTTGCAATGTTGATTATTTGGTAACGTATTAAGCACAAAAAAGTACATTACAGAAACCTCAAAAATGCAGAATCATTACCGTCAGCGCGACAGGATGTTCAGAGTCTTGATAAGCTAAATATTTTTATATCAGAGCGCAAAGTATCAAACAGAGGGCAAAATGCTTAATATGAAAGCAGCAGGATTGTAACATTCAAATTTGCCTTCTCTCAAAGGATGAGAAGACATTTTTTGATTTTTAAAAGTCTCCAGCCGTCTGACGGCATTTGTTTCACCGAATCGGGGCTCCCATCCTTTCCCATCTCTCCACCTGCAGTAAGTCAACGGTGCCTCCCTGCTTACTTGCAACAGCCTTCCCATCTCCCATGGCAACTCTCTTTTTCATAAAGCATTTTCTGCTTTCTGCACCTCTCAAAACTCTTTTTCCCCGATACTGCTGCGTTGAAACTGCTGTGGCTTGTGTAGAATTGTAAATATTTCATATGTAAATTGCATAATTGCTCATTTTTCATTCTGTATCTAATAAAGCATAGAAACCATTAGCACACACCTGTCTGAAGGCTCATGCGTTTAGCACATTTTAAATCCCTGACATTAGAATAGTGAATCAAGCAACGCCCATTTAAATCCTCCTTGACATACTTCCTGACCATGTATAAAAGATGTAAAGGCACATCCGAGGTAAGCTTGCTCTGTAGGGCATCAGGAAAAAACGAAAACACTCTCAAATTAGGCATATTAGTGAGCTTACTCTGGAATGTGGCACACTTATGGCTGTGGCCGCAAATGCCAGCACACAGAACTTAGAGGCACGTTTTACAAAACAAGTACAGCAGGCAGCAAAAACATTCAGGGTTCCAGCACAACACATCTGATTAACAGAAGCTTGCTGATGAGGTAGCAAGGGAACAAGCAGAATTAGAAGACAACCACCAAAAAACAAACAAAAAGCCAGAAACAAACAAACAAACCACAAGAGTTTAGCAGGATTATATTGTGACAAGAACAGTGTAAGTAGGAAGATCTCAAAAAGAGGCAAGGCTGCACACTACCATCTTCGCAAGAAACGTAGTAGACTCAGGTATCACTGCCTCCATTCCCCACCGTAGCACTGTCAAACCCCAAAATGGTTTTACAGAGCCTTTAGAGACACTACACGGCACAGTAGCTAGCACTTAAAATTCTCAATTTTCATCTTAAAATGTCAGCTTTGATTTCAATAAAGTCAAGTGAAAAACAAGCAGCAGTTCTCACCCCTTATAGCCCACATGTGGAAAACATCAGCATAAAGGAGCATAAGCCAAGCCATGAGACACTTCTTTGACATCCAGAGGTGTCATGACAAGCTCTACCTGCTGCTTTAACACCTCCTCAAAGTTGACAAAACCACTTCTGAAAACACCAGCTTTCACTTACCACACAGTTCAGACACCAGTTTCTGAGCTTCCCCAAGCAGTTGTCTGCCTCTGAATGTTCAGGTCTGCAGGAAAAGCATAGGATTAGGTTGGACTTTTCCCCCCGACACACATACTAATATCTCCCGTGGACTGTGTATTCTAGTTCTACCACACTGAATTGAACTGACTCTGCACAGCAAAACCAAAAAGAATAAAGAATGTCAGGTCCTTTATTTTGAAGGCAGACACGTCACTTAAGTGCCATGAAGAGTACAACAGGAGTAGCTATTTGGCTGGCAAATCTTACAAGACTAATCAGAACGTTGTAATAAAAACCCATTCTGCAAGAAACGGTAGTACTGAATTCATTGCAAAAACAGCTGCAGCTCCAGCAGCAGTGTTACTGTTGTTCTCACTCCTGAACCTTTCCAGAACAGAATCCTCTCCAGTTAAGAAGGGAATTCACTCTCCAAGGCTCATTCAGTACCTGGCCCCTCTGCCTAGGCCATCACAGAGGAACCAGTTAGCATTATTCAGTTTGTTTTGTTGTTATGGACACTTCATACCAAAATGCAACATATAAAGCCCACATAAGCAAAATATCTTGCTGATTTAGGCTGAAATAAACCCGATTACAGAAGTGAAAGACTGCCTAAACCTAAACTGCTTCAGTTCCATGGCCTCGCACGAATGACAGAAAAAGGCGGATGTACAGCACTTATGCTTCAGCATGGGGATTTTCCAAAGCTTTCTGACCGCTGGTTAAATTGTGCTCACGGAGAAGTACATTTCAGTGACTGAGCGGCGGATGCTGAGCACTATGAAATGAAGAACAGTGGAGAACCTGTCCTTTGGCCTGTGTCAGCAGGCCAAAGTAGAAATACAGGCTTTAGGTTCCAGCCAGAACTTACTCATCAGACACTTCGATGGAGGATTTCTTACAGCCAGATTTTTTTTTCTCCTTTAGCACTCCAAATTTCCTTCCCATCCTTACCAACAGCAGAACGACCACAATGACGGAAGGGAGAAACACTAAAATGGACAGCAGCACCGCTGAAGTTAGCTGGAAGGAAAGGCCTGCAGGAAAGACAAAGAGCAGCCCAGCTGTACCAGCAGTAAAGTATGGCTTTCTTAAGTCTCTGTGACAATTGTTCATCCAGGACACAGGTTGCAAGCCTTTTCATGTAAAGCACAGAGCCGACAGATTTGAAACAGATTGTCACTGAATCTGTAGGACTCCTATCACATGCCCAACACAGTAGGGTGCTTTATATGCAAAAAAACTACAAAAGGAAGGCAGGTCACGATGTAGCTCTATCAGTCTGTCTAAGCTGTAAATTCAGAGCAGGTCTCACATGCAGGGCAGATGAGGAAATTAAGTATTACTGAGAATCAGTGTTTGTGATGTGACAGTTTTTAGACCAGTATTTCCTAAACGTTTAACTTGTTCTACTGCTGCAATATGTGGAGACCGGGACTCCCGAACAAATGCACGTTTTTGATTTCTGTTATTACGCCAGTTTCCGCTGTCCCTTCCTGCCCCCAATAAACTCAATATGTCTCAATGTATTTGGCTCAGAAAGAAGGGCTGAGGTAGCTCGTGCTGAAATTCCAACGTGGAACTCCAGGGAACCCATTTCACATGTGATGCTCAGACTTCTAAGATTCTGACAAAGCTGCAGTGCCACTGTATCACATAGATGGGGACGTGCTATTGAAATGGAGGCTTACCCCTCTCCGTAACCGTCAGCATTGTCTGGGGAATGTTATGGTACACGTCTGGAGGATTCTTCACACTGCAGATGAACGTCCCATTGTCGCCCACCACTGGGCTTTGGATAGCAATGGAAGCATCACCCTTGGCAACATTGCCAACCCAGGATATCCTGTCTTTGAACTTTCCCACTGTTGTTGGGTATGGAACAGACTGATAATGAAAAATCTAAAAGGAGGCAAAGACAATAATCGCGCCAATAAAACACTCCTCTAAGAAAGCAAACTACTTTTTGGATTATAAACATAAAGGAATACACATTAAGAAGTAAGTCAGGAAGAATACTTCTTTGACAGGAGACCTTTTCAAGTTCCTATTTGATAATTCTGAATCAGTCCTATTTCATTAGATCTCCAATGCTTTTATCTACCAGCCTCGGCTCTCAGATGTCACCATCACCATTCTGACCAACTTGTTCCCTTCTGCAGATCTTCAGTTGAGAAGCAGAGCAGGCTTCTTGTCTCGTGCAAGAGAGAACGTTGCTGTTCTCCAGCTTTTGCTTCTTGCACTTTTGCTCTTGCTGTCCTATGAGCAGAGACTTAGCAGACCTCACTTCATACAAGCACCACTCTTTTATTCCAGATACAAGGACACTCCTAAGAGTTCAAACTCTTCAGGCAGCAGGAGTGACTGATAATCTGTAGAGATGTGCATTTTCTGTTACCACCTTGAATGAGAGATTTCCAGTGGGCTTTTAGACTTATGTATTCATGCCTAGATTTCAAAATGCTGCCCACAAAACAGCAAGTAGCCACCCATAAACCTTGCAGGTTGTCATCATCACTGTCTTCAGACTGTCATTGCACACATGTTCATACCACTCCCAAGATACATCGGCAGTAGACTGCACGACAGAACTACTAGGGTACAGCTGCCTTCAAGAAAGCTACCAATCAAATACTTTACAGTCATTCTATACACTGCTACAGCGTACAATGCAGCACTTGTGTCAAAACCCAAAGTTTATCTACTTTATCATCATCATGCTATTATGCAGTTACATAGAATATTTTTTTGCCCAAAGAACACTAAAACAACTGTATATGGGAAAGAAGGTAACAATGAGAGTCCCAACCCCAAAGTGATGAAGAAGCACAGCAAGGCAAATATCATCAGATTTTCAGCATGTAGAGAGGTCTGGTCAGTGTCTGCTAGAAAAAGACTCCCTGTTCCACTTACTGCCTCCATCTGACCACCTGTGAGCGGCCGGTATGTCCAGTCTATCGTCAGGCTGTCAGTGATGGGAGAACTGGATTTGAATGAGCATTTCAGAGATACTTGTTCACCAATGAAAGCTCGCACTTTAGGACTGGCTTTAATTTCCAGGGAAAGAAACGTG